CCTCTTCGTTACTTCTTCAAAAAACTCAAAACTCCTAGAAACCTGGTACTCCACTAAGAAAGCCATCAATAAACGCATAGAGCTAGACCCCATATATACTCCATTGCGAAGGAAAACCGGAAGTGAGGTAGTCCGGCTCAACAGACACCAGAGTTTAAATAACAGGCAGGAAAACACAACAGCGCTTCATTGGAGGCTGCACTGATGATGTTACCCGGCAGGGTAATGAAACGTCTGTGGAACAACGAAGCAGCTCAGTGAGCCAACCAACCACAACATCCACAACCTGAGCTATAAATCTACTCTAAAACCCTAGAAACTCAATTAAGTTAGTGAGATATGATTTCCCATATCCCTTGCTTTTCTAAATACATGTAAATCCAGTCCCTCAGGATTTCCCCCAACCACTTGTCCACCACTGATGTCAGGCTCACCAGTCTATAATTCCCTGGCTTTTCCTTACCACCTTTCTTAAATAGTGGCACCATGTTAGCCAACCTCCCGTCTTCTGACTCCTCACCTGTGGTTATCAATGATACAAATATCTCAGCAAGGGGCCCAGCAATCACTTCCCTAGCTTTCCACAGCGTTCTAGGGTACACCTGATCAGGTCACTGGGATTTATTCATCTTTATGTGTTTTAAGCCATCCAGTACCTCCTGCTCTGCAATGTGGATATTTTTCAAAATGTTGCTATTTATTTCCCCATGTATCTTCCATATTTTACTCCACAGTAAACACTGATGCAAAATTCTGGTTTAGTATCTCCCACATCTCCTGCGGTTCCACACATAGTGGCCTTGCTGATCTTTAAGGTGCCCTGTTCTATCCCTAGTTACTCTTTTGCCCTTAATATATTTGTAGAATCCCTTTGGATTCTCTTTAACCCTAACTGACGAAGCTATTTCATATCCCCTTTTTGCCCTCCTGATTTCCCTCTTAAGTATACTCCTACTGCCTTTATACTCTTCTAGGGATTCACTCGATCCCTGACATATGCTTCCTTCTTTTTCTTGACCAAAGCCTCAATTTCTCTAGTCATCCAGCATTCCCTACGCCTACCAGCCTTGCCCTTCACTCTAACAGGAACATACTGTCTCTGGTGTCTCATTTTCTAATTTTGAATGCTTCCCATTTTCCAGCTGTCCCTTTACCTGCGAACATCTACCACCCCCAATCAACTTTCAAATGTTCTTACCTTATACCATCAAAATTGGCCTTTTACCCCAATTTAGAACTTTAACTTTTAGATCCGGTCTATCTTTTTCCATCGCTATTTTAAAACTAATAGAATTATGGTCACTGGTCCCCACTGACACTTCGGTCACCTGCCCTGCCTTGCTTCCCAAGAGTAGGTAAAGTTTTCCTCTTTCTGTAGAAGGTACATCCACACACTGAATCTGAAAATTTTCTTGTACACACTTAACAAATTCCCTTCCATCCAAGCCCTTAACACTATGGCAGTCCCAGTCTATGTTTGGAAAGTTAAAATCCCCTATCATAACCATTCTCACAGATAACTGAGATCTCCTTACAAATTGTTTCTCAATTTCCCACTGACTACTGGGGAGTATATAGTACAATCCCAATAAAGTGATCATCCCTTATTTCTCAATTCCACCCAAATAATTTCCCTGGACATATTTCCAGGAATGTCCCCCCCTAAATACAGCCTTCAAGTTAGCCCTAATCAAAAATGCCACTCCCCCTCCTCTCTTGCCCGCCCCCCCCCCCACTTTCTATCTTTCCTATCCTTCCAATAGTACCTATACTCTGGAACATTAAGCTGCCAATCCTGTCCATCCCTGACCCACGTCTCTGTCATTGCAATGATATCCCAGTCCCATGTTCCTAACCATGCCCTGAGTTTGTCAGCCTTACCTGTTAGGCCTCTTGCATTGAAATAAATACACTTTATCAGTTCTACCTTTATTCTCTGCTTTGTTCCTGCCTTGCCCAGACTGATTGATTGACTTGCTCCTTTTCCCAACTGTACCAGTCTCAGACGGATCTCTTTCCTCACTATCTCCCTGGGTCCCACCCTCCCTCCCAGCTTTACTCGTTTAAATCCTCCCGAGCAGCTCGAGCAAATCTCCCCACCAGTATATTAGTTCCCTTCCAATTCTAGTACAAGCTGTCTTTCTTATACAAGTCACTTCTACCTCAGATGAGATTCCAATGATCCGAAAGAGTGAATCCTTCTCCCCTGCACCAGCTCCTCATCCACGCATTCATCTGCTCTATCATCCTATTCCTACTCTCACTAGCTCATGGTACTGGGAGTAATCCAGGTATTACTACCCTCGCGGGCTTCCTTTTTAAATTCCTGCCTAACTTCTTATATTCTCTCTCAGAATCTCATCCTTTCTGTTCCTATGTCGTTTCTTCCAATACGCACAACAACCTCCTGCTGGTCCCTCTCTCCTTTGAGAATATTCTGTACCGTCTCCGAGATATCCTTGATCCTGGCACCAGTGAGGCAACACACCATTCTGATGTCTCGCTGTCAGCCTCAGAAATGTCTGTCTGTGCTTCTGACTAGACAGACCCTTATCACAATTGATCGCTTGGAACCTGGCGTACCCCTCGTTACATTAGAGCCAGTCTCGATACCATAAACCTGGCTGTCAGTGCTACATTCCCCTGACAGTCCATCACCCCCTACATTTTCCAAAACAGCATACTTGTTTGAGATAGGGATAGTTACAGGAGACTCCTGCACTACCTGCCTCCCTCTCCTGCCTTTCCTGGACATCACCCATCTACCTGACTGTATCTTTGGTTTATCTCTCTCCCTGCAACTGCCATCCATCACAACCCCAGCTCCTGTAAATTCCTCATTGCCTCTAACTGCTGCTCCACCCAATCCTTGTGATCTGATAGGATTCGGAACCAAATACACTTCCTGCAGACATAATCATCAGTAACATGGAAACTTTCCCTAATCTCCCACATCCGACAGGAAGAGCACATCACTTTACTAAAGGCCATCATTGCACCTTAACAATCTACAGACCCAGAAAATAGCACAGTTTTACTGCTCTAAAAACACTGCTCCAGGCTAACTCAGAACAGGAAAGGGTCACCGGACTCTGTATCTTCCTACACAGATGCTGCCAGACCTGCTGAGCTTTTCCAGCAACTTTGTTTTTGTTCCTGATTTACAGCATCCGCAGTTCTTTCAATTTTTATAGGAGGTTGCGGATTGACCTTACTGAGGTTCATAAAATCAAAAGAGGCATAGCTAAGGTGAATGAGAAAGGTCTCTTCCCTAGGATGGGGGAGGTCAAAACTAGGGGGTTTATTTTTAAGGTGAGAGGAGAAAGATTTAGAAAGGACATGGGCGGCAATTATTTTACACAAAGAGTGGTTTGTGTGTGGAATGAGCTGCAAGAGAAAGTGGTGGATGCACGTACAGTTACAATGTTTAAAAGACATTTGGATAAGTTCATGAATAGGAAAGGTTTGGAGGGATATGGGCCAAGCACAGGCAGATGGGCCTAGTTTAATTTGGGAACATGGTCAGCATGGACTGATTGGACCAAATGGTTTTTTTCTATGCTGTATGACTCATTGTCTTTAGCATCCAATGCAAAGAGTTAATCAAATTTATTCCAAGTCATTTTGGCTGTGGACAAAAGAATGCAAGAAATAGGAGCACAAGCAGATGACAGAGGCACTGAACTCACCCCACAATTTTATATGACCATGGGTTTCAGCTCCACTTCCCATATCCCTTGACTCAGGGGAACAGAAACCAGTTTATCCCCGCCTTAAAAGTATTCAACGATGAAACATCCACAACACTATGGGGTAGAGAATTCCAAAGATTTACATCCCTTTGAGAGAAGTAATTTCTCTTCCTCTCACTCCCAAATAATTGGCCCTTTATCCTAATACTGTACTCACGTTTTAAATTCCCTGATTTGTTGATATAACTTCTCACCATCTCCCTTGTGAGGCTCCTTCGGGATCTGGTATGCCTTAATGAGATTGCCTCTCATCTTTCTAAACTCCAGAGAATATAGGCATCATTGTAAGAGCCTCACTCTAGATCAGATTAGAATCATAGAATCCCTACAGTGTGGAAACAGGCCCTTCGGCCCAACAAGTCCACACCGAACATCAGACCATCCCACCCAGAACCATTCCCCTGTAACCCACCTAATCTACACATCCCTGAATACTTTGGGACAATTTAGCACAGCCAATCCACCCTAACCTGCACATCTTTGGACTGTGGGAGGAAACCAGAGCACCCAGAGGAAACCCACGCAGACACGGGGAGAATGTGCAAACTCCACACAGACAGTCGCCAGAGGGTGGAATCGAACCCAGGTTGCTGGTGCTGTGAGGCAGCAGTACTAACCACTGAGCCACCGTGTCGCCCATTAGACATCTTCAGTTTCAAAATCATCCTTCACAACAAATCATCTTTCTCGCCATTAACGGAATTGGATATTCTGAATTCTTGAATGACAAGACGGTAATTCATGGATCTCATGATTGGATGATTAAATCACAAAAAAAATTACGTGGAGCTGGAGGAACACAGCAGAAATCGATTTCTGAAGAAGGGTCCCGACCCGAAACGTCAGTTTTCCTGCTCCTCTGATGCTGCCTGGCCTGCTGTGTTCCTCCAGCTCCACACTTTGTTATCTCAGACTCCAGCATCGGCAGTTCTTACTATCTCTATGTGGAACAACACTCTTTGTGAAGGTTATTTCTCCATCAGCAATTCATTTATGCCATTAAAGGCAAATGTGACTCGTGAATGACTTGTTGAGGCACATATTCATCCAAAGATTGAATTATAGACATTAGACAGCCTGATATATCTGCATATTGGGTGTTTTTTTTTCTTTGCAGGCACCTTGTGATTTAAAGGGGTACATGGGAGCTAAACAACGCCCACACCGATACACTGCATTCTCTGAGTAGGCCACTAGGACATCTATTCTGCATTTTTGATTCACGGCTTCACTTCCTGCTCATTCATCTGACTGTTGTCGCGAACATGGACATAACTCCTGTAGGGAACTTGATTTTTCAGTTTGTTTTACGTTCGAAAATTACATGTTAATAATTAATTAATTTTGCTCCGTCGGCCATGCAGGATAGTACCATTCTCATTTCCTATGGTTTTCACTGGAACGGTTTACAAAGCTTCACGCTCCACAGTTTAGATGCCGGGTACATTGAAATAATGGCCCATGTTGACACATCCATGTTGCTGATGCGTTATTATGGACACTCATGTTTTTTTTGGAAACTGGTAATTTTGGCATTGAAATCATTTGTTACTTTTTGAGCTATCTACGGCTTCTGCCAAAACACTGGAGTTCTTTGTTCCACAAAGTGGCTACACTAACCAGCTGGTGCTCTGAAATCTTTGTTAGACTCAATGTTTGACTCACTTCAGTATAAGTTTAGATTTTGCACTTCTGGTGACATTAGCATTCTGACAATGTTTGAGGGACCCATTCCAGTTCAAACAGGAATAACAGGAAAATGGACTATGTTTTAAGTGGTTTAAAAAAAAGCTTAAAAAATTGCAGCACGCTGCTGTGCAGAGGGACTTGGGTGTCCTTGTGCATGAATCGCTAAAAGTAGGATTGCAGGTGCAGCAGGTAATTAAAAAGGCAAATGGAATTTTGTCTGTCATTGCTAGAGGTATGGAGTTTAAAAACAGGGAGGCTATGCTGCAGCTGTATAGATTCCTGGTGAGGCCACACCTGGAGTACTGTGTGCAGTTTTGGTTTCCTTACTTGAGAAGAGATATACTAGCACTGGAGGGGGTGCAGAGGAGATTCACTCGGTTGATTCCAGAGTTGAGAATGTTGGATTATGAGGAGAGACTGAGTAGACTGGGATTATACTCATTGAAATTCAGAAGAATGAGGGGAGATCTTATAGAAACATATAAGATTATGAAGGGAATAGATAAGGTGGAGGCAGGGAGGTTGTTTCCGCTAGCAGGTGAAACTAGGACTAGAGGGCATCGCCTCAAAATAAAGGGAAGCAGGTGTAGGACTGAGGTCAGGAGGAACTTCTTCACCCAAAGGGTTGTGAATCTATGGAATTCCCTGCCCAGTGAAGCGGTTGAAGCTACCTCACTGAATGTTTTTAAGGCAAGGCTGGATAAATTTTTGAACAGTAAAGGAATTAAGGGTTACGGTGAGTGGGCAGGTAAGTGGAGCTGAGTCTCAAAAAGATCAGCGATGATCTTATTAAATGGCGGGGCAGGCTCGAGGGGCCAGATGGCCCACTCCTGCTCCTAGTTCTTATGTTCTTACGTTCACACTTCTCAAGATCAGTTTAATAGCTGGTCCCTGATCTCATGGCAAATTTGATCTGGGGCAGCTTCTTCAGGGTGTATTTCTGCAACTTTCATTCTTGCAATAGTTTTTTCACTAATACTGAATTACTCAATGCAACACAGTTATTGATGGATGAGCAAATGTTACAGCTTCTGGTTTGAAACTGGCTTTGTACTTCATTTTTGCCAGACAACTATTTTTGTTTGTTGTTCGCTGTACATGGTCTGCTCTGTTTGGGCATGTCTTAAATTCCCTCGTATTTTCTTGACAACGTGCTTGATCCCATGAGCCAGTATATAAAACAAGTAAATCTTGAATTGCTAGGTGAAATGTTGAGGCTAACCCTTAATGTAAATTTAGTATTTCTGAGCAGAAAAGGAGTGCCAACTCGTACACAGAGTATAGGCTTAAACATCATTTTTGATACTCTTTGGTTTCAGCTTTTAGAAAAAAATGAATTAAATCATAGCATCCAAAGCACCAGTAGGAATCATGAAATACAATGCAATTGAAACAAAATGTAACTTATTTGGTTGGCATGAAATGTCAGCTTTGGTCATGGATTTTTATTCAGCACTATGTTTTTTTTTATTTATTAGCCTTTTTGGGAATATGTTATGGCATTTTTGAGCCTTATTTATCAGCTTTTCCCGGTTTTAAAGCTTGTTATGTTAATAGCACCACATACAATAGATTAAATGGTTACTCAACTAGTTGTCATTTGTGGAAACTTACTTTGTCTGTAATAATTGCCATATTTTCTGTGCAGCAGCCATAACAACTTCAAAATAATTCACTGTTTGTGGAGAGCTTTGAGGGTTTGCTGAGAGATGTGACAGGTTTTGCAATGGTGCTCTTTGTCATTTCAGGCCAGCTACAGTGTGGATCCAGGCCCTGAAAAGTTATCTAATCTTCAGGGTCAGGTGAATGATGTAAAGGGCATCATGTCACAGAACATTGAAAAGGTTCTGGAAAGAGGAGAAAAGCTGGATGATCTAATCATTAAGACAGATGATCTCCAAGCATCTGTAAGTATCTCACTTTCCCAATTTAAATGGCGAATGGAAAAAATACATTCCTTCTGTATATTTAGCCTCAGAAACAGTTTCCTTAATAATATTTCATGTTTCTTTGCTGCATAAAGTCTCTGCTTAAGGTTATGAATATCGATCTGAAGGACTCCATATCTGTTACCTCATACAGCATCAGGTGTACCCATATCGGGTGTGCAGTTACATGCAGAGTAAGACTCTACCTAGGTTACCTCAGTGCTGCCTTTTAGCCCCAATCCATTTTCTACACCAGCACTCCAAGTGGCTTTTTTCTTAATTAAGCTACTATTTATATCTGTTTGCAAGTAGTATATTTGGGACAAATCCCTCCAAGGCAGCAATGGGAAGATTACATTTTTAGTGCTATATAGATAGTTTATGTATACTCATTGGAACTTAGAACAATGAGGGAAGAACTTATTGAAACATACAAGATTCTTAAGGGGCTTGACAGGGTTGATGTGGAAAGGTCAATTTTCCTTCTGGTAGAATCCAGGAGCAGAGGGCATAATCTTAGTGTAGGGAGTAACATGAGGAGGAAATTCCTCTAAGAGATTTTGGAATCTGTGGAATTCTTTACTGCAGAGGGCTATTGCATTGGGTCATTAAGAATATTCAAGGCTGAGAGATCTTTAATCAGTAAGGAATCAAGTGTTATGGGGAAAGGAAGGAAAGTGGAATTGAGGATTATCGGATCAGCCCTATCATTGAATGGCATAGCTGATTCAGTGGGCTGAATGGCCTACTTCTGCTCCAACATCTTATGGTCTTATGGATGGGCCCTCAGCTGGCTCTTTGTCTGCTGCAGTGATGACCAGTATGATTGCCTACCATTAGGGACATTGCCAAAGACAGTACTGTCAACAATTGCAATACTGTCACCTAAAAGAGACCTCTTTTAGCACAGACTTGTCAACAAACCAGAGAATCAACCCTCCACAACTGTCCTCTGTGACACCATCTGTGAACTACGTATTTTTATTAATTATTGAACACAGTGTCTTTCCTCCTTGGGCTCTAAGGGCCAACACACATTTTAATTGTGCATTTAGGTTACAACGAAATGTGTTTTCAACAGCTGATGGTAGGTTGAAGACACAATAATCAAAACAGAACAGAAACACGCTGTGGAACAGAGTAGATTTACTCTAGCCTTGAAGCTTAATCCAAATGAATGATTAAAAATTTGTATTGTGCAAAAACACCTCCTGTGCTGTTATCATAATTGCTTAATTAAAACTATTGAATTATTCACAATTTTTAGCAAATAGAACTTTGAATTAATTGGAGTAGGTGATTACTGACAATATTGAAAGACATAAATCATGCATTTTGTTAGAAAAGGGGAGTGTTCCTAATACACTTTCAAAATAATTTCTTCGCTACATTTGTATGTTCAACAAGGGAAGTGCAGTGCTGGATTGTGTTCAGTCTAAGAATCGTAACCCAATTAGTCCACAATGAAAATAGATAAAGATATGTAAATGCTTTGGTCTAAGAATTAATTAATTTCAGTGAAAGGAAAAGGGACCCCAGATTGGAAGCAAATGTTTGATAAAAGATTGGGCCAAGAGTGGAAGGTAATGAAATATGAATATGGCATTTGCCAGCATAAATGTAAAGATGCATGCATGACGTCTGATAATAAAATCCACTTTGAAAAAGTGAGACAGTGAGCAAGAGATAGATAGATAATCAGTAAAACATTCAACTGTTGTAGAGAAAAGGCAGGAAAGTGGAGTTGACGGTCACCAGATCAGCCATGATCTCACTGAATGTTGGAGCAAACATGATGGGTCTATTGAATGGTCCACTTCTGCTCATACATCTTATAGTCTTATGACCTCATTGTGTCCATCCATATTTCTCTGTGAACTTGAACTCCAAACCAAATTTAGCCTTGTTACTTCCTCCAAAATTGATTTGGACAATTCCCCAGGCATCCCTGGCAGCTTCTGATGTATATATAAATGAGGGGTATGATGTCAGCTTGAGGCTTCTGGGAAATTTGGGTTCTGAGATGTGAAACACATGGTGGAAGCAGCCTAAAAATACTGGCCATCACAGAAAAGGGGAGTCACAGTCATGTCTTTTTAAATTCATGGCGATTGAGCCAGGTCAGGCCAGTATGTTTCTCTTCTTCTTCAGAGCTTCCCTGTTTGACAATCCTCCAAGATTGTCCAGAAGTCTCTCAAAATATAATATCACTCTGTTGAACAATAGGTGATCGAAAATCACATGATGAAATAGTTTATGATCAGACACCCAGAAATACTTCCATTATGATTGCAAACCCTCAGTATTTTTACCAGCCAGAATCAGGCCAGCTGTCTGTCCATACACTGCATCTTCCAATGCTAGCTTGAGTGAGACAACCATCCTGCATTTATTCACACAGAAGAGGAATCTACATGTGGAAATACAAGGATGTTGGCAGTTGGTCCCAATTATTTAAACAAAGCTTTCACCTTAGCCCTGGGATCCTGACTCAGACAAGAATCTGCAGTCATGTCACCATCTTCATGCCGAGATTTGGATGTAAATGAAGTGAAACTCAAAATCACCAAACAGCAACCTGCTCGCTAACCAAGGCTGTATAGAAGATTCCTCATCTGATTTCTTAAGCCAAAGAGAACTGACTTGACCAAAGAGAAAACTAAGGGATTCATAATGTACGCCTCGGGTTCATGTTTTAAATGGCACAGTCTGAAAAAGACAAAGCAAGGCACATAAATCAGAAGGCTTCACAACCAAACCACAACATCAACCCATCCCTGTCATACGTACCAGGCTATGGCTGTGGGATTGTCCACAAACCCACAAATCAGCATTGAGTCAAGCGTCAACTTATGCCAGTTGCTGCTAAGATATCTGCAAGCAGTCTTTACCCATTGTGTAGTCATTGTCATTTGCAGGCAAGTCTTTCTACACTCATAACTTTAGGGGTAGCACAGTGGCTCAGTGGTTAGCACTGCTGCCCACAACACCAGGGACTCGAGGTTTGATTCTAGCCTTGGGCGACTGTCTGTGTGGAGATTGCACATTCTCCCTGTGTCTGCGTGGGTTTCCTCCAGGTGCTCCAGTTCTCTCCCACAGTCCAAAGATGTGCAGGTTAGGTGGATTGATGATGCTAAATCATCCATAGTGTCCAGGGATGTGTGGGTTAGCCATGGGAAATGCAGGGTCACAGGATTAGGGTCGGGTTGTGTCTAAGTGGAATGGTCTCTGGAGGGTCAGCATGGATTCGATGGGCTGAATGCCTGCTTCCACACTGTAGGGATTCTATGAACATCAGTAACAGTTTAGTATCTCATTTATCTCTTTTCTCTATTTACCTACCTTGGTTTCATAACCCTTAACACCCTTGCTTATCAAACATCTATCAACCTCAATTTTGAAATATTCCTTCATCCAGCCTTTATAACTTTCATAGGACAGAGTTCTGCATCACTTGCACCATGTACTGAGTAGCAGCAAGAGGTGGACATAATTGTCTAAAGCATATACTGCTGCATTTTCCAAAGTAAGGTGTCCATATATTATGTGATCAATGGTATTATAATTGTCGTTTGATAGTACAGAACTTGAGTATTGTTAAAAAATAGATACATTTGTCAAAATTTTTCATCTTCAGTTCATCAGGACAATTTGCAAGAAGAACCAAGGTAAAAGGAAAACAATCTATTCAAACTGTATGAGAAGACAGCGCTGATTATTTAGCAAGTAGACTCTGAATGATAAAGGTCTTGTCACGGAAAATGCAGTAGTTAACTGCCAAGCTTTGTTTAAACTTCAACCAGGCAGGTTGACTCTGATTGGTCAAGGCTTAGATTAGGAAATAAAGCAGAGCATGGAAATCATCTGTTTTGGTGATTTGAAATAGGCGGGATTTGTGAATATGTTCTCACTGTCTGCAAGGATCAGGGCCCTCTGCATTAATATATGTAGCTTCAGTACATGCAGGTTTTCCAATCTTAAATTGTCAATATAACTCTTAGCACACTTAGAATTATTTAACAAATATCCAATTGCAGAAACACATCTAATGTTGGACATTGCGTTTTGTGTTTTGCGATACAGACTGGTTGCCAATTGATGCCGGTTTCAATTTAAAACAAGTAACAGCTATTATCTTGTCTGTGTCTCAGTGTAAAACATTGACTCATCCAAGTCAACCTACTTGGTTTAAATGCAAACGAAGCTTGGTAGTTACCTGTCAATCATTATCGAACTTAGGCACTCTCCAAGGCAATGACTCTACAAATCAGAGTCCACTGACCAACCAATCAGCACCATCTTCTCATTCAGTTTAAAAAAGAAACTGCCAGAGTTCCTTTCCTTCCCATTCCTTTCTTGCAAATTGACCTGATGAGTGCAAAATTAAAAGATTCAATGAAATATATTCTTGATATCATAATGCTAATTTCAAGAGTTACCTCACATTGCACTGCACTGTTGAGTGATGTTCAATATGTGTCAATGGTGGTTGAGAGAATACAACAAGTCATTTGAGTTCCAATAGTCTGCATTGTGAGAAAGCATGTGGTTTTGCCTATAGTATCCTCCAGGGTCATTTCTGCATTGTCCTCCTGTTTGGGTTTTTCACTGATATTTGCTGACATCTAAGCCAGAGCAACAAGAAAGTAATACCAGCATGTAAGCTGAGGGACCACATACATACTGACAGATTTGTCAAAGCTACAGCCTGAGTGAATCTGCAGCATTCAGGTGAATTGTGTAGCAAAACATTTGAGTATCTGACACCTAGAGCTTGTGAGTAGGCTGACCTTGGACAGTTTTGCTTTGGGTAGCATCATCTTCCTCAGCATGTTTCCAAGCCCTGTGATTAATACATGATTCTAGCTGGTTGCCAGCTCCTGCCAAGTGTACTACATGTGATAAACAGGTGAGTTCACCTTAAACACAACCACATTAAATAACCCGATAACTTTTTTTTGAGTCATTGAGTCATATAGCATGGAAATAGACCCTTCAGTCCAACTCTTCCATGCCAACCAAGTTTTCCAAACTAAACAATTCCCATTTGCTTGTGATTTTTCCCATATCCCTGTAAATCTTTTCTATTCATGCATTTGTCCAAATGTCTTTTAAATGTCGCAACTGCACCTGCATCTACCACTTCTAGTAGTTCATTCCACACACAAAACACTCTCTGTGTGAAAAAGTTGCCCTTCAGGTCATTTTTATATCTTTCTCCTTTCATCTTAAAATTATGTCCCCTAGTTTTGAACTGACTTCACCAAGGCCAACACATATGTTGAAAAATATATAACACAATCGATGCAACTTTTAGGTAACTGCAACGTTTTGCAGCTACCATCGTTGTTGCTGAACCATGAATGTCCATTATACCAACTGGCTGGCTCCCAACAGCAATCCCAACACGAGCTGAGAACTTGCTAAAGGCTGACTCCAGAGGTCCTTCTGGGGACAGCCCTCTGCCAACTGGGCACACCCAAGTTTTGCTGCACCTGATCTGCATTGGTTCCATGCAAGGAGCTGGAATCAACTGAAGTATAAAAGAACAAACAGTCAGGGCTTTTGTGGTGTGGTGGTAGAGTCCTTGCCTCTGAGCCAGAGGCTCCAGGTTCAAGTCCCACCTGGTTCAAAGGTTTGTCATAACACATCTGAACAGGTTGATGAAGAAATAGAATGGAGAACTCTCTTGTGTTGGATTTGGAATTCACAACACCTTAAGAGAGAATGTCCTGCTGCACATTTCATACAAAATAAAACCAATTTGTTTTCTCATTCAAAATCAAATAAGTTTTTAAATTGCAAGAAAATGTCAAGGGAAAATACTCCAACAATTTCTTAACTATGAAAAGACATTAGAGTTCATCTATTTACATTTTAATCAAACTTCAATGGATGGAATACAGTTTCTCTTTAGATTGCTGTATATGGAATAATGTGAGTGTCAGGGCACAATTTGCCTGTCACACATATGGATATTGTGACAGATACTCAATGTCCTGGATAAAATTCAAATTAGTTTTAAAACTTGCTTCTATGTTAAATCTTTCATTAAAGAGATGGGTTTCTCAGGGCAACCTTAAATTGGGATGTAAATCTGAAGCCAGATGGCCTCAGACAATGGGAGCTGACTGAAATACTTTCAAATGTGCAATCTCACTGGAGGGATTTGAATGCTTTGTCCTTTGAGTTTTATGGGAATCTTATTTCAAGGGGCCTCCATCTGAGCAGGTTTGATTTGTAGCTGTACTGGCCAGCCCACAGTCCGAAAGGATCGGAAGAAAAATGACTCAGCTTCCTCCAGACCGGAGGTTTGAAGCAGCTTGTTTGCAAGAACGCCTAGTGTTTGTTAAAGGAAAATACCACAAGGGCCTTCGCTGAGGCACACAGGTTAAAAACGTGGATGAATTACTTAGAAAACCTCTTGTTTAAACTAACTAAGGCAATCTATCAAATTATAGTTAGTGGATTTATTCTTACTTTATGTTTTTCTCATTAACAAGTCCTCAATCCATGACATTGTATTACTCCCTACTGCTTGTGCTCTAATTTTGTTTACTAATTTCCTGTGTGGGACTTTATTGAAAGTTGTCTGAAAATCCAAATAAATCACACCTAGAGTTCCTGTGATCTATTCTAGTGATAACATCTTATAAAAGTCTAACAGGTTTGTCAAACATGATTTATGCTTCATAAATCCATATTAACTTTGCTCAATCAGATCTTTATTTTATAAATATCAAGTTATATCCTTTATAACAGATTCTAGCATTTTCCTCTCACTGATGTTAGGCTAACAAGTCTGTAGTTCCTGGTTTTCTCTTTCCTTCCTTCCTTTCTTAAATAGTGGTGTTACATTTGCTACCTTACAATCTGCAGGCACTAGTCTCGAATCTATACAGACTTTTGTAAGATGACCAGCAATCCACTATCTCTACAGCCACCTCTTTCAACAATGTGGATCATTGGGTGTCAGAGTTTTTCAACTTTCAGTCCCATTAATTTCACCAATATTACTTTACCCCTAATGCTAATTTCTTTCAGTTCCTCATTTTCATTAATGTCCTTACATCTCTATCGTTAGAGAAATATATTTCCAAATTGCATGGCTATCTAGTCCAACTTGCAAAAATGGTACAATAATATACCCCAAAGTCTGGTTATCAGGCAAGTAGGTTTAATATGTAAATCAAATTCCAGAAAGTAAATCACTCTGAGCAATTACAAAAACAAGTCATCATCGTCCGTAATCACTTGCGAGTATGATTGCCCACGTAGGAAATTCCATGTGACTGGTCATGTATTCTTTGCTCCTTGCATGGCAGATGAGCCTCATCTCCAACCACACACTGGACCATTGAAGATAAATAGGTTTCCAGAGTCAGCATGAATTTGTAGCAGTAGCACTCATTATTCCACTTGTGAGTAAGACCTTTGCATTTCACCACCAACAAAGTGGACAGTGAGTGAATTATTGTGGACAGGATATTTCTATCTACGCATTTCTGTTGGCATACAGCTTTCCAAATGATCTGTTTTAGGGAGAGGAATTGGGGTAAGGGTTCAGTCAGCACATTGTACATTGAGCATTGGTTGAATATGCCTATTGTGTTCAACCAGCCTGTATTTGCAAACTTCACAACACCGTATTGAACACAAAATGTTATTTTGATACTGGGCATCATTTGCTAAATAACTTGTGTGCTAAGAATTACACAAGAATTCAATTTAATATTACCAGTTGGATTTGCAGTGTGATTCATTTGTGCATGTTGAAAGCTACGCATGCTCATAGACAGGATTCTGTTGTCAATCCCTTTCAATGACAAAGACTTATGGAGGCAACCAATTCCTACTGCATTCCCCTGGCCAATTACAGTCTATCTGCCTGGTCTGAGTTTAATCCGTAAACTAAAAAATAAAATTGTCCACTGCATCTCCATGCTAACTATGGTCCCACCAATCATTCTTTTCTCATGCTGTATAAATTGATGTGGTTTTTCAAAGTTTGATTTCTTATGTGTTAGCCCTGACAGGTGTAAGATGAAAAGTTTCAACTTTGTAGCAATTTTTAACTTCTGCATTACCATGCCTTTATTCACATACATCTTACACATCTATCCTGTTTGATTTCAGGCTGACACTTTTCAGAAAACTTCCACAAAGATTGCAAGGAAAATGTGGTGGAAAAACACAAAAATGATTGTTATCATTGTGGTAATAGTCGTTGTGATCATCACCCTCATCATTCTCATTGCTACAGGTGTCATCCCAACATAAGACCTTTCTACTTAGTACTGATGGTTCAGCTATTAAAGCAAATGTACCTTCTTGTATATAGATAGTAGTTCTTCTCCAGAAATACATAGTTGCATAAGTTTTGATTATATTATAACCAGATATACATAAACATGAACATTTTATGTACAACTTTCAGAATAAGTGAATAAGGGATATTTATATTTGAAGTTTATTCCTTGATGGAATTGCACATAATTATACCTATATCGTTCCTGTTGTATATGTGTCTGAAAGGGTTAATACTAAAAGAGTGCCATAAGTACCACTCACCATGATAATGTCACATGGACATGTGAGCAGACATTTTAGAATTTCAAAATGAGACCTAACCTCTGGCCCTCTTCAAAGTCTCTGTAACAATGTCTATTATTGCAATGTAACGTAATTAATTGCCAACATGCAATAAACTGTATCTTGATAACTAGAAGAAACTCTCCTCATTTGACAAAGAAGTGGTTATCCTCTACCATAATAGACCAGGCCCTACAGCTTCTAGCACTTGATCTTCATCATGAGCAGCAGTTCATAGTTTAGTGAACTAGCATGCCCATGCAAAAGTTATAATACCTGTTTACATGTAAATAGAGGAAAAGAGGGCTCCTTCTCACCCTCTATGATAACAATTCATCTAAATTATTTTCAAAGGGTTGAAACACAATTGAGGTGCTCCAAGTGAACTGAAATATTGAACTCCACAAGCTATTCAATTGTCAGCTGCAGTCAAACACCTGATCCTATTCTCAGCATTCATGAAACAAATGTATTCCTGCACGTGTCATTGGAATACTGATCCTTCCTAATGTATTAAGGCCAACTGCATGAAGCCTATTTATTCCCCTCTTAGATCTGGTGAATTGGCAGATGGGACATCTTCCTCATTTGGGGTGGAGCATATGATTTTAATGAAATGTGTTTTCCTTCAAAAAAAAACTTTGTTTCCATCTTTTTACCCTTTTGGATATATGATAACAAATTTCCTGAGTGCTATAATACAGGATGGCAGGTCAAGAGATGGAGAAGCAAAGTGAAATAAACAGTAGCGAAGCAGGGAAATAGCAAGCAAGGTTACATTGTAACTATGAGTCAAATTTTGCGCACAAAAATAGGAATTCATCAAGTACAAAAGTACCTTCATTGTTTCTATCGTTTTCTTGATGTAACCAATGAAGACTGAAGATTGGAAACAGGAAGTACAGGATAATGGTCTAAAAATATTTTACTTCAAACTGCTAGACTGTAAGTCAGCACCACTGCCATACTATTATTTGTGAAGTACTTGAGCAGAGCGGAGTCAAACATGGTCAAACAAGATCCCATCTCCTCTCTCAGGTAAATATAAATGATCCAATTATACTACTTGAACAGAATTCCTGGAGACCTAGCTAAGATTTCTCTCTTAACATCACTAAAACAGACAATTTCATCACTCATCCTTTCTTGTTCCTGCTGTGTACAAATTAACTATGTTTTCTGCCCATCAATGATTTTAATTCAAACTATTTCATAGACTGTAAAGCACTTTGTCATGTCCTGTGGTCATAAAATGTATGACCTAAATTCAAATTCTTTCCTTTTCTTAATTCACCAACAAGCAAGTACTAGTTATTCACATTTTGTCATTGGTAAGCTGAAAGGATCTTGCCTAGGAGTGGGGTGAAGCATTATAAATAACCTGTTACCTATTAAATTAACTCCCTGTGAGGCAGTGTAAAGAATCATTGATGGGAACATACACAATGACTGAGATGGCTCCAATGAGTCCATGTGTCTTTTAAAGCTTTTTATTATTATTTGTTTATATAAGACAGCATGCCATCAAGGAGAAATACAAATATCCAGACTGCATGATCAACATATCAAAACAGCAGTGCAGCATGCTTGTTTTTAGATGTTTATATCAAATGGAACAAAACAGAAAGTAGACTTTAAATATAACGTGCATGAATCATAACATCAAACTGTAGCTCAAAATCTCAGGAAGCGTAGCAGCATGATTCACAACAGCTTACCCGAATTGAAAAAAAAACACTTAAAGATACAGGCACCAGCAAAACAAATTGACTGTAAAGCACTTTGTGATGTCCTGAGGTCATAAAACATATGATGGCAGGAGACTGTCACAGCCAGCTAGATGCTTTTCCTGTCTCAAAGCATCACTATGTATCCAGGCTGGGACCTCACACCAATACACACTAGTGTGCCTACACCAGCAGCTGGCTTCTTCCATAGCCATTAATTTCTGGAGTGGGACTTTTACCCAGTTCAACTCAGGCTCTAGGGCAGGAGAGCTAATCACTGAGCCACGCCAGTTCCCTTAGGTCAATATTTCCCATGTAATAGATTCCTGCAGCAACAGAAGCATCAAATCACACTTGTCTGCTTAGTAAAAATTCTTTCTCCCAGTCAAGGAAAAGACAGCTACAATTTTACCTAGACTGTCAACACAGGAGGCCATTCACCTCATTATCCTTTGAAAGAATTATACAATTAGTCCCACACACCTTCTCTTCCTCCATCATCCTGCAATATTTACCCTTCAAATATTTATCCAATTCACTTTTAAAAGTTACTATCGAATCGGTTTCCACCTTCCTTTTAAACAGTTCATTCCCAATTATAGAAAAAATGCTGTAATTACTTTTCCTCAAGTCACTGCCAGCTCTTTTCCCAATAACCTAAAATCTGGGTCTTCCAGGTTTCAAATTTTCTGCCGTTTGCAACCATTTGTTTGTAATAAGTGTCAAAATCCTTCAGCATTTTGAACACCATCATCAAATCTCCAAATTATGCCTTTCTAACAGCTTTTACAACATATCCTGGCATTTTCAAAGATTTGTGTAGACGCACCCCACAGTCAGTGTTACTACAAACCCTTTAAAATTATACCACTTAGTTTATATTACCTCCTTATTCTTCCTAACAAACCTTGAAGCATTTATACACAAAATAATAATCAGATTCCAATACTACAAGGTAAAACATGCATCATGGTCTAGAATTTCCTTCAAGTGAACATTTGCTTCTTTACAAATGTATGCAATTGCCCTTTGTTCTTGGTAGGAGTTACTCTGTGCAAACTGTCTGTTTTCTACATCGCAATCATAACGCAAGCTATTTCATTTGTTATATGACCTGCCCCAGGGTCATACTGCTGCTGGTGGATGATAATAATGGCAGATTTCTGACAAACTCCAGCTGTCCACAGGTGTAATAGTTCCAGTTAGCTACAATGCACCACCAGTATAAATCCAGAAAACTTTTACATGTTTTACCGTAACTCATTAACTATACAACTGAAGCCATTGAAGACTCAACAGATTGTTCAGGTCAGAGACAGAAAGAAATTCAGGGAAGTGTTTTAAAGGTGTATGCATAGAAATTACTTCCATTTGGTTTTCTTTGCTAAAAGAAGTTTTTACCTGCTAATGAGTAGAAAATAGGGAAGAAATTCACGATGTGTCAACTGCAATGCATTTGCCAAATGTACACATTAAGAAATGGATGATGAGTTGTAGCTTCTGATACAGGTGGAGTAGATGGTCAGTGTTCAGGTTTGCTCTTAAGGCACTTTATGAACAGATGCACCAGAGAAAAATCAGGGAAAGGGGCTCAACAAAATTAATAAGCAAAATAGCAATAAATTGAATAATTAATAGCACTCAGGAGTAACAAATTCCTAGAATAAGATGGTTTTCAGAGGGTTTCAAAAGTTGAAATATATTCTAGAAGGCCAAACTAGCTTTTCAAAGTTCTTTGCTTTCAGCCCTTCAGGTTGGGAGATTATGAAGTTGCTCTACTACTTAATAAAGATGACTGTGGAAAAGGAAAGAACTTGCAAATTGAATTCCTGTTAACTTTTACCCCAGCTGAGAGCACCTCCAGAGGCCATGTCCCTATCAGCAACTTCTAGAACTGGAAGTCAATGCTGTGACATGCTGACACCATACACAGAATTTTAAAGTGGCCACAGACACAGTGACATGACTTAGGGGGAAACCTGGCTTGTAAATCAATTACTAACATCAGTTGTCATCAAATTGCAACATTATACTCAACATAATTGAAAATGAATGCAAAAAAATGGAGAACAGATTTCATACAATCAGACTGAGGTGGTGGAATTCAATAGACAGTTTGTAAATTGCCTAAGTGAAAAATTGGTTGGATTCCTTGAGATACGGTTGCAAAATTGCAGCACACCCAGGACCAAAATGTTACTCAGATCATCCAGCTTGCATTTGGTCTTGCCAATGTAAATAGACCAAATCATGATCTGCAAATACAGTAAACTGGATTGAAAGTAGAAGTAAAATGTTGCTTCACCTAAAAG